ATTTTTAAACAGTGACCACGTTAAGGATACACAGACACACACACGCTTTTAATTGCTAAAGTTTGCAGATGGTGCAGAATTAGTGAGGTAGTAAATAATAGAGATCTGAATCCCTGGATTTACATGGTGACAGTGCAAGAAAATGGTGTTTCTGACTCATCTGAGTGCCCTGGTTTGTATCTAGAGAGATTCATAGAATCACAGCCTGGTTTGGGTTGGAAGGGACCTTAAATCTCATCCAGTTCCATGGGCAGGGACACCTTCCTGTAGACCAGGTTGCTCCAAGCCCTGTCCAACCTGACCTTGAACACTGCCAGGGATGGGGCAGCCACAGCTTCTCTGTCATTTGTCACTGACCTCCACTTGGACATCAAGCCATTGACCGCAGCTCTCCGAGTGTGACCTTCCAGGTAATTCCTTATCCACCCAGTGGTCCATCTTTCATCTGTCAAATCCATGCCAGACCTTTGGCAATGCAGAACGGTCACAAATGCTGCCTTTTCCTGGGGGGAGCAGGCCAGGAAATAGTTGCTTCTCTAATAACACAGTGAATGTCTTGGGCATGGTGGTAAGAGCTGCTTCTGCCTGAAGGTGGAAGAGCTTTAAAAATAGCCCTGAAAAATTATGGAATGAAAAGAAAACCCTAATTCATTTGAATCATCCCAGTTCGTGTCCTGCGAAACGATGCTGCGGTCTGACAAGCCATCCAGAGCTCCTAGCATGTATCTAAAATGCAAGCTGGAGGAATGGGTAATCACCTCTGAAGGCCTTAATGACCCTTTGAACCTTCCTCCATCTACTTGTGTTTGAGTCATGATAGCGAAGAGGATGCAATAGGTATTTGTGGGAGGTGTGAAGCCGGCGTGCTCAGGGAACGTGTGGTTGCTCTGCAGATGTTACTGTTTCCTCTGGCATCTTAAATGCTGCTTATAAAGGATTTCTCTCCCTTCAAGATGTGACCTCTGCCTTTTGTCTCGAGTCAGACAAACGGGGACAAAAGCATCCTGGTAGCATTAATTTATTCTAATTACTGGATGGGGGGTGTGCAGCTTCTTCAGTGCATTTAGGAACGTTCAGAGCGTTCCATAAGTGAGCTGGGCGGGCTCATTTCCATGTGAACAATGAGGGAAAACTGAGACACGAGAGTCTGTTCCCACACACAGCACATTGAAAGGAATCACCCACATCCAGCATTTTCTCTATGTTAGGGACTTGGGGCTTGTTCCCTTCAGGGACAGCAGCTGGGGAACTGTGGCATGGATACCTAGGTTGGAACTAGGTAATCTTAAGGTCCTTTCCAATCCTAACTATTCTGTGATTCTATGTCAACACTCCAAAAGCAGGTACAAAACTTGATTCTGCAGTTCATCTGCTTCTCAGCATCTTCTGGGTACCGCACTCAGACCCACAGCGCTGAGCAGGAGCCCAGATCTCTTCCCCATTCTGCTTGATCCCTGTAGCCTTCGTTTCCCATCTTTTTCACAGCTGCTGCAAAGGAAGGCCTAAGTATCAGGCTCTCCTCTACAGCCTATTCCTTAGTAATGTGTCGAGGCCCATTATCAACAGATTTGAGATGGAGACCGGGAGTGACAAGAAGAAAGGCTTTCTGAGCAGTTCATTTGTAATCAGTGGTTGATAGGCAGCAATTAATCTGAATAGGGTTTTGGTTTCAGAAATCCATTCAAGCTTGGAATATAGGAAAAGTCATATTCATAGTCCCCCAAACCCATTAGAACCTCACACTTTTCTAAGAAAACCCCTTCAGCTTTACGTTCTTAGAGGCAGAAGAGCCTTCTTTTCTCTTGAAATCTGTCCACTTTCCACTGCCTGTCTTCAGCTCCCAAGGGAGAAAGGAATGCAGATCCACTGGGACAGAAAGGGAAGGAAAAAAGTAGGTTTTGGGGAAAAAAAAAAACTAATTAGCCTATTTCCATTCTTCTGCAGCAGGTATGCCTTTATGAGGGCAAGCAGGGGAAAGGTGGGTCAGGCTATGAAATAGAGGTGGCGTTATACCAGAAGCTTTTGCTAATGGCTGTAGTGATGGCATTCTGGGGAGCACAGAGGTCCCTGTGCTGATGTGGGTACACCAGAGCCCATGGCTGCCTTTGATCTCCATCTGCTTTCCTGGGCTCTGCCCCTCTACTGCTTCTCCCTGAAGGAAACGTCTCAGCTGTCCTACTTCAAAGGTCTTGCTCCTGGCTAAGCTGGATTTGCCTGGTGGTACCAGTGAACTGAGGAACTACCTGCATGGTCCAGCTTGAGCCCCAGGGGAGCCCTCCTTGCTGCTGCTGCCTCGCTGTGCCTTGCAACAGGAGTAAACCAGCTTTTCCTTGTGCCTGTGTGCAAGGTGAGAGGGAGCAGGCTTGAGAGAGCCTTAATATTGGAAATTGTAGCTTCCCTGGCCTGAAACCTGTGTGTGAGATGGGGCTGGTTTGGAGGCTGTGTGTTGCCTGTAAGCTGGGTGCAGTCACACCTCCCTGCTCTCCTCTGTCTCCCTTTGCTACCCACATTGCATGGTAGTTTTTTGGAGCTTGGACCACCCCTCATCCTGCAGAGATGGCAGTGATGTTATCCAAGGACCATCTGCAGGGAAAATGAGGGAAACCTCAGGGATTTCTTATGTTTGACAGTGAGCTGTATGAATAGCTGTGAGAACACAAGCAGAAGCAGTCACGGGGTGGGAAACTAAAGAGAGAGGAAAAGCTGTTTCCACTCTTCCATAATGAAGTAGCAGGGATGGGAGCTGGAGCTGTGCTGGTGGGCTCAGGTACAATGTAGGCATGACTATAGATTTAGGGGGGGCATCCTGGACCTCCTCAGGAAACAGGTTCGTGATGCGCTTGGTTCTTAGGTCTTGCTGCCTTTTTAATCTGATTTTTGCACTGTGAACGTCATTTAAAGAAACTTCTTCAGGGGAAGGAGGGGCAAAAGACAATTGAGATTTCAAAACGCTGAGATGGAAGCATTTGTTTCGAGGCTCGGTGGATTCATCGTAGCGGTTTGGGCACTGATCCCTTAAGTCTGCCTCCCGCAGCAGCCGTCCATGCCTGTGTCTGATGGCAAATCCCTCAAATGCCAGGCGTGCATTTCAAGCAGTTATTTGTATGGAGAGGCAGTCCTGGGAGAGCAGCAGGAGCGCCTCGCCTGTCAGTCAAAGCTCGCGATGCTGCTGCCCTGGCAGCAATCATACTGACAGAAAATTGCATATAAATTGCAGCATTTCAAACTTAAGGAAGGGAGATGAAAGCAAACGCTTCCGAGCTGCCACCAATGAGTTGTGATGTGCAGCGTTCAGCCTCGGGAGCCCTGCAGGTCCCTTCTCCTCGGCTGCCACCGCCCCAACCAGCCTTAGGCTTGGTCCATCTCTGCACCAAGGATAACACCAGGTTATTGCTGACTACCTAATTGTCACTAATTCTGTTAGAAATGTTAGGTTATTGGCTGCCCTGGAGGACTGCCTTCAAGGAAAATGTTTCGGCATAGAACCATGGAACAGTCAGGGTTGGAAAGGACCTTAAGATCATCCAGTTCTAACCCCCTGCCATGGACAGGGACACCTCACACTAGGCCATGTCACCCAAGGCTGTGTCCAACCTGGCCTTGAACGCTGCCAGGGATGGAGCATTTACCAACATGTCCAATGCTGGTGTGCCCAGAACAGCTGGGGGGCCAGGGAGCTTGGCAGCAGCAATGGGAGGATGCAGGGCTTGGTTTCTGTACCCTTTCCTCATGGCCAAGGGTGATGTGAAAAGGGGCATGCTGAAGCTGAAATCAGACTCACTGCTTTTGTGTGCAGCCTTAACTTCACTTCTTAGCTGTAGTTTTGAGTAGCAATGGAAGGGTTTGGGAGATGTACCATGTTAAACATAACATGCTCTCAATGAAGCCAGGCACTGATTGAGGTGGGTGCACAGGTCAGAGGGCTGGAAACCCACCACACCTGAGACGCAGGGTTTCCTCCTGTCCCCAGCCTGGGCTGGTGGGGGCTGAAGTCACTGTCAGGCTGGGGCAGTTGGTGGCATCACCATCCCCAGGGACTGATGGGTTTTGCTTGACTGCAGCTCCGGGCTGGAAGGGGAAGGTTATATGGAAACTAAATGCTTTGCAGCCTGGCAGCTGCCTGTATGCCCTGCTTGGCCATGGAGAGCTGGTGGAATGCCTTGCTTTGCAAAGAGATGCCTCCAGCCCCTCTTCTCCCATAGATCTGAGGAAACGGCATTCAGGATGCACGCTATAACTGGATGCTGGTGTGGGGGGAGCTGCACTGGCCAAGCACTGCAGGTCACGGCTCTCCTGCCTGCCCTGCAAAAACAGTCACCTGAGCACCCTAAAACCGGCTTTAACACATGGATGCCTTTTAAGCAGGTGAGAGATGTCCCAGGCACCGACGGCGGCGCAGCTCCTTGCTGGGCTGCTGTGAAAGCAAAGCAAAGTTAACAAAACCCTGCGAGGGGTATTTATTTCCTCAAGCACCCACGAGCGGAGCTCTCATTCGCTTTCCTGACTCCCCGGCCAGCGTGGTCCAAGGGGCTCTGCCTGTCCCTCTGCTTGCCTGGCCCCGGGTCAGTGTGAGCAGACGGGCACGCGTTGCTTCCAGCCGCCTTCACCTGCGCCTCCTGGCTCAAACCCAGCCCTCGGGATGACAAAAAGATGGAGAGAAAAAGCATCAAGAAGGGCTTTTATTGTGAAAAAGAGGCTCCGCAAGCGCCCGTTCCCCCCTTCGCAGCCTCCCCGCTCCCCTCCCCACAGGGAGGTGGGTCTGGGATGAGGCAGAGTTTGAAAACTCGCAGCTGAAGAGCGCGGGGTGCGCGCTCCGCCCGCATGTCCGCCTTGCGGCAGGGCCGGCGGCGGAGTGGGGCAGCAGGGATTGCGGAGGGCAGTGGGGAGCGCCCTCGGGTGACCTCCCCTTGCTACGGTTGACGGCTTGAGGAGAGGAGGCTGCGGGATTTACTGGCCTCAGTATTGCTGCTTTGTGAACGCTTGTGTTTTTTGGGGGGGCTGGTGCTCCATGGCAGTGCCACAGGCGGCTGGCACCCAGCTCAGGAGGTGACCGGATGCCCGTGAAGCGCACGAGGAGCAGCGCGTCGGTTGATGCTGCGAGACATGGTAGGACTGAGGGGTTTCCTTGCTGTGGGAGGTGATGCTGGGTCTGCTCAGGGACACCAACCCCGTGGGATGAGGTGCAAGGCTATGGCCTGGCTGCCTCTGTTGCGGGGGTAAAGTCTAGTGGGATGCCTCCGAGGGTACGGGCACGGTGAGGCAAGCAAGGCACAGATCCGCCCCAGCATGTGTCTGTCCTTCATAGCACTAAGGGTGGACAAAGCAGATTGTAAGGATGTGTGTAAAGGCTGTGCCTGGGGCTGCTGTAGCTGAAGGCACTCCTGTTGGCCAGGGAGACAATTAGTTGCCTCGGCCAAAACCCATCCTTTTTAAGAGCCCGGGTGGCAGCACTTCAGGTAGGCAAAGAGTGTGGGGCAAAGGCAGCGCAGTGCAAATAAGAGAGCACAAAGATCCCATCAGTACTTTCCGTCTGGTCTTCACAATGCACAGCCCTCTCATCAAAACCAGCCACTTTGGCAAGGGAAAACTCCCCTCCTCCCCCTAAGAAATGTTGCGTTTCTCTGGCATCAGCAGATTTCCCTGCATCCGCAGTGTGTTCCAAACCTTAGGGTGGTTTTTCATGTCTGGGTTTTGGGCTGTCCCTTGGCGGTCAGTTTCCAGATGCATCTGAGCAGACACAAGCCAGCTGAGCTGGGACGGGGACCCCACCGCTCCCGTTACTGCTGTGCCACCCAGGGATCTGCAGTGGGGCCAGGGTCTCTGTCTCTGCTTCAGCACCTCAGCCCTTGCAAGGCTGGCACGGGGCAGGAATTGCAGACGTGTCTGATGAATGAGCCTGATGCTGCTGCCAGAAACTGGTGCTTTGGTGTCAGTTGTGTTGTGTTCTGAATGCTTTTGTGTCCTCAGGAGTGTGGTAATGACTCAGAGCATCTCTGGGAGCACTGGGGCAGTGCCAGCCTTCACCAGAGCGTGAGCTATGTATGTGGGGGCACTAATGTCATCCTTTATACTTTCTGTCCTACGGTTTGTATAGGCTGTCTTGAGTTTCTTACTTAATGGACTTTAGCAGCAGGATAAAGAGACAAAACTTTGGCTCCTGTCACCCATTTTAGGGCTGGAGATAACTACTCCCTATCAAAGGAAAACAGAAGGCAGCTCTCCCTGCACCAGCTTTCATTTGCAGTAACGCTTTCCTGTACGAGCCCTCACTAGGATGCCTTTCAAAGAGTCTATAGCCTGTGGTGTGGTCTCCCCTCTGAGAGCATGGTATTCCGTTTTTGCCAGGGGTTCCATTTTGCTTGGTAAGGGAAAGTCTGCTTCTGCAGTCCTTTCCCCGTATTGATTGCTTTGATTTCACCCGGGTCATCCAGGTTTGCTCTGGGCACCTGTAGGAAGAGCAGCGATGGTCATGAGGAATAAACTCAGGCTTGCCCCAAGCTCATTGTCTCATTGCTTCATTTGCAGCAAAGCCCTAAGCAGAATGCTCCAGGCAATCTCTGACTCCTTTCAGGATCACCAGGAAGGTGACCGCTTGCAGAGAGCCGGAGGGATCCCCGCTGCGAGCTTCGCTGTTAGGACGGAGCACGGCGCTTGCAGCCCGCTGCTTATCGGATCCGGGCGCTGTACGTGCCTGACCTGCAGGAGCAGTGAGCGCTGGGGGATGACTGCATTGCAGAAGCATCTCCTTTATTCTGGTTTCAAACCCTGCCAGCGAGTCATTTCCAACCCCTCTGTCATTCGCCTAGCATGAGGCAGCCGGAATAAGAGGGGCTGATTACACTTTATTAATCCTCTGGCATAGGTGCCAGATGCCTTAATTCCCCCTTCTGTTTCAAATGCTCAATAGCTCCAGTCCATCTGCAGCTGTTTGCCTTGCCCTGATGGAAAAGCCCCTGTTTTGAAGCCAGGCTTGATGCTTATACAGTGTTTGCTCCAGGGGGTTCACTGGGTGAAGGAGAAGCAGGCTGGAGGGTTGCATGCTTCACCCAGGATGGGGTCTGCAGGACACAGAGGCAATCACAGCCAAGCAGTGAGCAGCTTTCCTCCCCTTTTTTCCTCTTTAAGCAGAAAAGGTTTCTATGGAGGAAAACAGGGTTATAACAGGGTTATCTTCCTGCACCAGAGGCCACAGCTTGCGTGAGCAATTCTGTTCTGAAGAAAGCCCCCAGGGCTGAAAAGCCCTGCTGTCCTCTTCATTCCTTTGCTTTGGAATCCCACAAATGTGCTTTCCTGCTCTCCAGGAAGGGAACAATCCTGACATCCAGCTCAGGGAAACCCAACCAGACAACTTTTGGGCAACCTGTGCTGAGATGCCAACGAGGGAATGCATTGCTGCCCCTCACCAAAACCCTGACGTGGGTTTTGCAAGCCCCTGCTGGGCACCAAACAGGCACCCCTGTGCCCTGGTGCTGACCCAGTGGTCAGTAATGAAAATAATGGATCAGAATCCTCTCCCCAAATGTAGGAAAAAATGTGACCCCCACTACAATACCTAAAACGGGACTGGGTGCCAACACGTGTAAGAGTGTTCCAGCGGCTTTCCAGGCACTCACCAGCAGCACTGGAAAACTCATCAAGAGGGATAGGAAACCAAACGTGGTCTTATTTAAAGCTTGATTCTGTTTGAATGCATCCCTCCCGTATTTAACTGCAGCCCAGAGCACGCTGCAAAAAGATGTGGCTTTCTAGCCCTTCTGCTCCTTGCTGCTGCTATGTGTGGAGGAGCCCACGCAGGGTAATCCCATGGGGGATGCCCGGCCAAAGCTGGTGAGTGGTGCTGAAGTACAGCAAGAGACACTACGGGGGTAAAGGGGTTTGCGAGGAAGGGGATCCAGAGTGGCTCCCAGGTCCTGGATCTGACTTTTCCCCAGTTTGGGAATCCCGCAGGAGGCATCAGCGTGAGCCATTGGTTGTGGCTGGAAATAAAGCCCTGTGGACTGACCAGAGCCATCGATTCCCAAGTGCTACAGGGAACAAAGCGTTTTGGGTTTTGCAGAAGAAATCCAGGCAGTCTGTGTGTGGGACTTGAAGGGAAGGAGTCCAGCCACAGGCTGCTGCCCTCCTCCAAAGCATCCTCTGCACAGCCTCTCACGAACAAAGGCAAGCCTGTTCAAAACGAACGGGGGCATGAGGCACAGATGTTGCACAAAGGCAAGCCACATCTGTTTCGCTGGGGAAGGGGCCCCCTTCTTGCTGTTTCAGCAGGCAAATGGGAAAGCTGCTCTGAAAAGCTCCGGAGCTGAATGCAACAGGCTGGCTGGGAAATGGGGATGAGGGGAGCGGGGAAAGGGAAACCTGGGGGGATCCTGCACAGCAGCGAGGGAGCAACGGCTGCCCAAAACCACTGCTCTCCCCCCTTTCATCCCTGCCAGGATTCCTGGGTTGTGCTTGTCTCACGTAGGTGTGAGGGCTGGAGGAATGAGCAGAGAGGAGGGAAGGTGAGAAGGACCTCCCTAGTGATGCTAGCAGGACAGTCATCTATTCAGGGCTGCTTAGATCCTCGCTGTCTCCTGTGAACACGAAGGTGCTGGTTTGGGTCTGCAGTGACCTGGATGCAGGGTGATATTACTTAACATAATAAGGCTTTCAGTGGTGAAAGGTGATGGAGGTGTTTGCACATGCAAATAGAGCAACCCTGTGCATCTCCTGCAAGACAGCCAGCAATCTCATAGGAGATGTGCCACCAAGAAGTAGAAGATCCAGCTAAGAGTCTGCAGGAAATGTCCTGACTCTGAACTTAAATAGGAATAAGATAAGGCATTTGAAAGCTTTTAGTTTGCTTACTTGAAGCAGAAGTATGGCATCCTGGAGGCTGTTTATTTTTGTGGTGCTTTATGTTGCCTTCTGGGATTAATCCGGAGAGGTCCTGAGCTGTGCTGAACATCGCGTTGGGATGAAAAGCCCCCTGTCCATCCCTCACAGAGCCGGGTGTTAACTTCCTGCAAGATTTACGGGGGGAAGCGAGGAGAATTATGAATCTCTCCTTTTTCTCAGTGAAAATCACAAGATTTAGGGGTAAGGACAGAGTCAGCACAGGAAAAGCAAGGCCCTGCTGGTACCCTGCAGGGCTTTCATCTCCCCCAGGTCCTTTGTGAAGATGCTGAGCAGGACATTTGGGATGCTGGGAGCCTTGCTGCTCCTGTAGGCTCCTCCTGGGCAGGGGTTACGAGCCCTTGTTTTGGCTCTACTTGTTTGGTCCATAACCGAGCTGTAACCAGGGCACTGTCACAACGGCATTTTGCATGGTGGAGCGGATGAGAAGAGGCTGTGCTCTGTGGATGGGCAGAAAAGCACCTCCCAAAACCAGGAACAGTGAGTCTGGGTGAGGGGGATGGAGCAAGGAGGACGCCTCGCACTGAGGAGCAAAAAGCTCAATGGGCTCGAGCCAAAGACACTAAGCTGTTACTAGAGAGATGTGGAGCTCGAGGGTTTTGGGGTTTCTACAGTTTGCTGCCCCAAGGGAAGAACTGTGAAGGCAGCATTATCTCACAAGCTAAAGGAAGCATGATGACACCATCCCTTCACAGTCAGTGCTCAGACTGAAGGGTACCAACAGTGTTTCACCCCTTTCTGCTGCTGCTGGAGCATTGTCCTGTGCTAGTCTCACACTTGGGCTATAAATTACCTCCTTGAGGCTTTGCACACTGTCCAAAGTTTAGCAAAGTACAGCATGTCATAAGGTTTCCCCCTGGGCAATTTAACTTGGTTTTGGTTTTGGACATGCCGGTGGGAAGGTTTGTGTGCCAGCTACGAGGACTTTGCTGCCTCTGCAGGGAAGGACCCAGCACCGTGTGCTGATACATCATCTTCCCATTGCCCAGTGCTTGCTGTGGCTTCCTCGCCGTGCAATCTGTGGGAGCATGGACAAAGCTGGTGCAGGTCTGCTAGGAATTACAGCCCCTTTGGTGGATCATGAGGCCCGGTGAAGGGCCATCCGTCCCTCATGCCCTGTGGTTATCCGGGTGGTGGTGGGACCTGGGGCTGTCCCATGGGCAGCCACTCTGAGCCGGGGCTCCCTTTGAGGCTGGCAGTCATCATCTAATAGCTGTCTTTCGTGGATTCCCACTGCAAGCCATCTATCTTCCCTGAGCAGGATGATGTAGGAAGGTACTTGAGCACTTGAACGATGGGCAATGCACGCTGGCAAGGATTTCCTTCTGCTCAGGCTCAGAATCAACCCCAGGGGCAGAGCTTTTGTCTCCTTCCATATCCTCAGCCTGGTTATGGGTCCCCAGCAGTGAGCTTAGCCCATGTGCCATGCCCTGGGCAGCACCAAAGGGAAGAGGCTGCTCCCGTCCCGGATCCGGTTGATGCCCCAGCTCTCAGCCTCTCTCCCTGCTGCACCACGTGTTGGGCAGGAGGCTCTGGAGACGTTCCCGGAGGTGGGGGGCAGCCAGAGGAGCTTTCCCAGTTGCTTTTCAGATGCTCTTTGTTAACGCTGGTCACGGTGGGCTGCGTCTCCTATTGCCTGGACAGCTTTGCGGTTCATCGGGCGGGGAGGGTAAGTGCAGCTCTGCGCGTTCCACCTCCGGTGCAAACGATGCCCTGCGCTGCGTGCAGCCAGGTAAAGGCACATTCCTGCTTCTAACCTGCTCACCGGTGGCCTTTGAGTCCTCTGAGCTCAAGAGGGACATGGCTACGGCCAAGGGCACCCCACTGGGATGGTGGGATTCACTGCTGGAGAGGTCTGGCAGTGCTGGTGCGGGGCCAGGAACACTCTTTTAGGTACCAGAGGAAAGCAGGGATCCATTCCCATTTTAAAGGCCACGTATTTCCAGGGCATCTTTCTGGGTTTAGGGCTGTTTCTCTTGCATTCCTGGGTAATGAAGTTTGGGGTTTGTTTTTCTTTCATTTCAAGCTCAGCAAAGCCAATTTGATGCGCTTTGAAAAGAAATTGCAAACAGGCGGCTCTGCTCCGGATTCTGCCAAGGTTCAAGCATCCCGGGAATACAATGTCAAGGATAACCCCACCCCCTGACCATAGCTTCATCCCAGATGGCCAGGCTGCACAGGCTCTCCACTGTGCCTTCAGGAGCCCATTCATGCTGTGTGTCCCCCTGATGAGCGAGGATATACACGATTTACTTATTGGTATCTTGGAACAAGCAGTACCTCTCTTAAGCCTTTTTATGGGCTCTGCCTGTAGCTTTCCCACCGGGAAACGGCTCTGATTTCTGGTGAAGACGTGCTGTACTGTCAGTGTGTCAGACTGGCAAAGCAGAGCTCTACATATGGTTTGCATTTGGGGCTGAATGGAAGCCATAGCTGAAACTGCAGCGGTTTTTCTTAACAGCATGAGCTCAGAGAAAGTCTCAATGGAGAAGTATTTATCCTGGGCTTGTAAATAGAGCTTCATGTGTGCGGTGTTCAATCGTTGGGTTGTTTGCAATGTCGACTGTCAGAAATAACACAGGGGCTGTCCTTGGACTTTGCTTCTTTCTTCTTGTTGGTGATGTGGCAGGGAAAGCCTGAGCAGTGCTGGGGAAGGGAGCCTGCGGTGGTGGGGAAGAAATGAAGCTCTAACTTACGGTGCCCAGACCCGAGCTCACTGTCACAAAAGGCAGGGTGGGTTTGGACAATAACGGTTCCTTAAGCACTTGGACTGCAAGCTGACTTGACATTAAAACCCCAGGCATCATTGCCAACTGTTTGGCACCCGCTGCTCCCCAGCTGTGGATTAAAAGGGATTTTTCCTGCAGTATTTCCAAGGTTCTCCAAATGGCTCCTGCGTGCTCCCTGCCAGGATACTTGGAGTTTTTAGGTTCTTTGCATGCCCAGGGATGGGGTAAGTGACCAGATGGTGTAAGTGACCAAAAGGTTATTATCAGGTGGCTAACAGCAATGATCACCCCGCGAATCCTCTGTGCAGAAGAGGGTTGTGGGTGATTTTGGTGAGAGCGGTGTGGGTCGTGTCCCTCAAAGGGGTAGGATGGGGAAGGCGCTGCAAAAAGTTGCCCACGGAAGCATGAATTGGGAAGGGAACTTGGCTGGATGCAGATGGGAGGACTGAGATTTAGTTAACCGTGCCCATGGAGATTAACTCCGTTGAGTGAATTCAGCCAGCTTTGAGGCTGGAGGGGACAGTGAGGCACTTACAGTGGTGACTTGAAAGGAGCATGGGTATCACGGTATCAGGATCTGGCATTTTTACCCACAGAGTTATTTTACTGTGGTTATACTAGGATTTAGACATTGCACCTCCCCTAAGCTCTTGCTCAGGATGCCAGACCCGGATTGGGGGTGCTTGGGAAGAAGCTTGTGTCTGCATTCTGCAAGACTTGCTTGAATTCCAGGGCACGAAGGTTTTGGATAGCTGAGCTCGGGTGCTGCCGTGCTGGTTGGTGTTGGCTGTGCTTCCATAACAAATCATTATCCCATCCAAGTGGAGCATTGCAACCATGCTCACCCCCTGACCAGAAAGGGGCCTAAGGCAGTAAGCGGGACAGGACATCACACTCTGAACAGACTCACCCTGGACTAACTCCTTCTCACTTTGGGGTTTAAGGGAGAGCTAAATCAGGGGGTGCCCTGGCAGGTCCCAAAGCCCTGTAACAGGCAGAGTCCAGTGTAAGCCATGGGTGAGCGTAGGATTCGGCTCGGAGGATGTATTTTGCTGCATTACATTGCATTTCTGGGAGAGAAACAGTAACCTGAGAGCTGTAAAGCTGAATCACTCCAAGTGCACCGTCACTTGTCCTTATAAACTGCAGTAAATCTGCTCAGCCCTTGGAGGAAAGCCCCCATGGCTGCTGCCAGTGAGTTGGTGGCTTTGTGGCTCCTCTTGGTCCCCTTGGCTGATGTAGTGCCTTTGGGAGGGATGCAGCTCCTCAGCATGGGGCCACCTGCAGCAGCCTCCCTGCGGTGAGGGCAGGAAACCTGATGGACTTTAGGATGCTGCCGGATCAGCTTATGAAGGGGCTCACATGCTGGAGGTGCCTGGGGCAGCTCCTCTTGGGGCTGGAGTCGTGCTGGTGGTGGGTCCCTGCAGGCAGCAGGAGCCTGCAATCCGAAAAGCCCCATGGCTGGAAGTGCTTCTGCTCACCCAGCTGCTTTCTGGAAGTCATTCTGGCTGCAGGCTCTCACCTCCCTCCCATCCCTCCCTAGCTTTTCAGCTCCTTTTTTTCCAAGCTTTCCCTCTCACAAACAATCTCCTACCCCTCCTTTGGCACTGCGCTGTCCCGCTGTGTCTGCCATGGATATACTTCTGCTTCCAAAATAAACAATAGCAGGAAAATGTATCCCCTTGGACGTTCCCTTGACTTCCAGAGTGGGTTCGAGCCACTTGGAGATGCCTCTTGTAAAGCAGAGAAACAGCACCAAGGTACCTTTTGCTGCTCCAGCCCAAGCCCGGGTGGATGTGGCATGGGTGCAGCTGTGGGATGGGGATGGGGATGGGGTGGGCTGGGAGGTTCTCTGGCTGCTGCCCCGTCTCTTCCCTCCACCTCACCCTGAAAGGGAGGATCCTGTGCCCCAGTGCTTGTGCATGGGATTGCTTTCAGCCAAAGGGGAGATAGGAGGTTAGCAATGCAGGAAACATGAGCAGTATTTGCTCACAACTGCCTTTCCAGCCTGTACAGTTTTTATAAGCCTCTACAGATTATAAAGGATGAGTAAAAGGAAGGGGAGGAGGGCTCTGTGTACATCAGAACTTGGCAGTGCTTGTCTAAAGGCGGTTCCTTAGTGTGGGACATCAGAGTATGTTAGGGTTCAGAAAGAGCACTTTGCATTCTAGGCTGTCACAGCTCCTGGCTGGCACTTGGAGCTGCCTGGATTTGCTGGGTGCAATGATGGGTATTGCTCCAGAGGCTGAGATGTCCTGCAAAGGAAGGCATGGGGATCCAGGTTACCAGTTCAGTGTGCAGCCGGGGTAGGAACCACTGAGGGTACCCAGAGTAAGGTCTGAAGATAAAAATCTCTTAGGAACTGGGAAATGTTCGCATCCAGCCAGGAATTCGCTCTGGTTTGTGGAGTTTGTTTTTACTCTTTTTCATTTCTTGAGTCTTTAAAGCAAAATATTTGACCATGAAGAATTCATTGCTTGTAATGTCCTGTACATCAGTGCTGCAGACATGGCAGTACCTGTGGTGGGTCTGCCCATGTTCTGGCTGGCTTCCGAAAGGACTGCAGCTGATTTCTAGCACAGAAAAACCCCCATCAAGCTTATTGACAGCTGTGCTTGCGGTGTGGACATCCTAGCCCATAGAACCTCAAGGGGACCCCTGCTAACGCTCTCCCTTTCCCTACAGGTGCAGCGACCACGGAGAAGGATGGGGCTGAAGCCCCCTGCCCCGGCAGCCCTCGCGGTGCTGCTGGCCCTGGCCCTGCTGGCCCTTGCCCGCCTTCCCCCCCCACCAAATCACTCCCCACACCCGCTGCCAGCATCGTCCCCCCCAGCCCCATGGCGGGAGGTGGCTGTCCCCCTATCCAGGGGACGAGCCCCCAGTGGAAGGGTCCCTGTACCCTCCCCTCGCCTGCGGCAGGACCAGCCCCATGGCCGGGGCAGGAGGCGGCGGCGGCGGGGGGCAGCAAGGGATGCTCCCCCATGGCTCTCTGATGATGACCTCCAGAAGATGCAGCTCCTGGCCAGGGGAAAGGTGGTCTCCAAAACCCGCATCCCAGCCCACGGGCAGGTCCTGTGAGTGGGACTGCGGGCCATAGGGGATGCTGAAGGGGACACCACGCCAGGAAGGGACTGCCAGGACGGGTGCTGTGGGCTCATCAAGCGCCCAGGGGACCTCTACGAGGTGCTGGCTTTCCACCTGGACAGGGTGCTGGGGCTGAACCGCAGCCTGCCCGCCGTGGCCCGGCGCTTCACCAGCCACCTCCTGCCCTACAGCTACACCGACGGCTCCCCACGACCCATCATCTGGTGGGCGCCTGACCTCCAGCACCTGGAGGATGCCAACAACGACCAGAACTCCTGCGCCCTGGGGTGGCTGCAGTACCAGGAGATGCTGCGGCTCCATGGACCGATGCCAGCGGCTGGGGATGCTCCCTGCTCCAGCATCCCACGTGGCGAGTGGAGCCGCCTGGCCCTCTTCGACTTCCTCCTCCAGGTAGGGCTGGGGTGATGGAGACATCCATCCCTCTGGCTGTGCCCCCCTGTGTGCCTGCCTTGTGTGACTGTGGGCTCCTCTGTGGGGTAGCACAGGGCTTTGGGGATATGTTTTTACTCATTGGGTAACAGGGAGCAGCAGAGCTTTGTGCAGAGGCAATCGTGGTCCATGCTTGGGACTTGCAGAGGAAACACAGGCAGGTTTTGGATGCAGCAACTCCAATCTTACATGGGTGAGCTTTCTCCCGTCGCAGCTGTATTGGCTCTGCCTCACATGGATGCCAGCAGCAGCTTGGCATGGGGCATTCCTGGGGACAAGCAGTGTGTTCTGCATCAGATCCAACTCCAGGGATGTGCTGCTGGTGCTGGAAATCAGGAGCTCTACACCTTTGTATGGCACTGCCTTCCTCCTCCTCCTTCTCCTTCTCCTCCTTGGCTTTAATAGTGCTTAATCTTCTGTCTGGAAAATCATACCCTGCTGCTATGAGGGATTACAGCAGCGTCCCAGGGAGTTATCACTTCCTGGAGGGCAGCTTTGAGGAGGCAAAAGTGATTTCTATGGAAGAAAGCCTCTTTGGGCACCTTGAGGCTGGGGCTTTGATTATCAGCCGAGGGGGAAAATGCCTGAAAGGGCAAGTATTAAAATACAAAAAAAAAAAAAAGTGAAGAAAAAGCCCACCCAAAACTGTTAAAATTTGTGCTCCCTTTATTCTACCTCCTTTTTCTTTGGCAAAGCCCGGCCGTTAATCTTTATAGCCTCAGACTATGGCTGGCAGAGGCGGAGCAGTGCTGAAACAGCCAGAGAAATGAGAAAATCAACCAACCCCCTTCCCTTCCCCAGGCCAAAATTCCATCCAGTGCAATGGAAAGGCTGAGTCTCCAGGACAAAGTATCTGGTTTAAGGAAGCTTTCCTCTGTGGGGCTGAAGCAGCACGATGATAAATCCAAGGGCAGGTCGCTGGTTTTCCTCAATAGCTCCAATGGGATCTTCCCATGCGGAAAAGTCAGGTAAAGAGGCACCAAGTCAGCAGGATGTGAAATAGCATCTGACAGAAATGGCTTTAACCTCTCAGAGCTCTGGCTGGGGAAGGAGATGCTGCGAGCTTGGAGCCCTGCTGTACGTTGCCATTGAAGTCTTGGTTGTTGTCTTCAGTCAGCCTTGAAACTGAGCTGCTTCTGTCTGGGTTTCCCTTGGTGTTTGCCACAAGGGAGCACCCCTCTCGGTGCAGAGCTTTATGGAGGCAGAACACTGAGCCTGGTGGAAAGGGGGCAGCTGCTGGTGGCTTTGTCCTGCGTTGCAAAGGGCAAAAAAGGCATTGACTCCAAAGCTCTGCAGCCACAGCCATACCCTGAGGCACCCTCTTCCCATCGGGGGGAAGAGCAAGGATTGCTCATCCCAGGCTGAGTCACATATGGAAAGCCCTGTTGGACCCAAGGGGATGCTCTGGTGTGGCTGAGCTTCGTGTGGGTCCCAGCTGGGGCTAAAGGTGAGCTTCTCATAGGGTTTGAGCTCTGGTGAGAGAAAGTGTGGCTCACGTATTCGTGTCCTAGCAGCAAGACCTAATGACCCATTTGTTAGAGCCATTTAGGCTCTGATGAGGAAAAGAGTGTGCTCTGTGTAACACAGAGACTGCTTTTTCCCTTTTCCATTTATCCATTCGTCTTTCCATTAAGAGCTGCTCAGGTAGGGATAGATGAAAGGGCAGATATGTGACTGCAGCCAGATGAAACCATCATCCAGTGCACCAAGACTTGGCCTGAGTAAAATACTTCTTTTTGAAGTTCCAAAACCTAGGTTTCCTTGGCTGCTTTTGGGTTCTGGGTGTTCTCTTTACGTTCATTGCTGTGCACATCTTCCCTTGGTTTCAGCTGGAAGCACAACCCATTTACACTGTGCAAGCGTGGAGTGTGGAAGTGGAGGTGCAGAAGGTGTCTGAACTCCATTGGGAACGTCTCTTCCCCAAGCCAAAGGGGTTTGCAAGGCAGCTCAGCCTCTGAATGCTTCCCTGACACTTCCTCACTGGTGTATGCAGCTTGTCCATTTGATGTCTACTGAGGGTTCTTAGCTCCTTTTCATTTTCCTTGGAGCAAGGGAAGTTCAAAACTGGACCTCCCCATCCTGGACATGCAATGTCCAGTTGGGCACTCACATCCCAACGTGTCTCCTGCAGGTTCATGACCGCCTGGACCGCTACTGCTGTGGATTTCAACCCGATCCCTCCGAGCCCTGCGTGGAGGAGATGCTCCATGAGAAGTGCCGAAACCCAGCCGAGCTGGTCCTGGTGCACATCCTGGTATGTTCCCCACTCCCCAGGGGCTGCTCTGGGGCTAAGATGAAGGAGATGCTTTTAGGGCTGAAGTGGCAGCAAAGGGGATGCAGGTCCCATGGTGATGCTGGGTCCATAGCGGGTCCTGGTCACGAAGGGACCTGGGCTTTGCCAGCTGCTGGCCCACAGATGCTCTCAGGGTTTCTCAATGCATTAAGAATCAGTCTAAACCCACACACTGATGGTTTCCTGCAGTAAGTGAGCTTCTTCCCATCCCACTGTCAGGTCCGGAGGAGCGCGCCGTCCCGCCTGGTGTTCATTGACAACGCAGGCAAGCCACAGCACCCAGAGGAGAAGCTCAACTTCAGGCTCCTGCAAGGCATAGACAGGTAGGAAGGGTGAAGTGCGCCCTCCTGGGGGCACATCCCGGGGGAGGGCTGAGTTTGCACATGCAGGATGGGCAGCAGCTCCATGTGCCTAACCCACCACACGTGCCCTTGCTCTGAAAGCAGCTCTTCACCCTGCTCTGGGTGGCTGAAGGCAGTCTCCAAAGCCTATTTTTCCCTCTCTAACTGGCAGCTGCACAAAAATGATGGATAATCAGGTATTTTAGTATTATTTGTGTCATTACCTATCAGGCATTTTGGCTCACTGTAGGCCCCTTGATTTGGAGCTTGTTTGGGTCCATGTCTAACGGAGCTGTTCTGCACATTCGTTACGGGCAGAGTTTGAAGGAGGAGGCTCCTCATCCCATGTTCCTTTGGGTGGACATGCATTCCTTGAAGCACCGGGTGACATTTGCTTGGCTGCTGCCCTCTTCCCGGCTCATCCTGCCCTGGGTAACCCCTTCTCTCCATCTCTGCTCTGCTCCTCCACTGCAGCTTCCCCGCGGCGGCCGTGGCCACGCTGCGGTCGGGCCGGTTGCAGAGCCTGCTGCTGCAATCACTGCGCGTGGACCGGGAGCTCTGGGAGAGCCAGGGTGGTGCCGAGGGCCTGAGGCCCCTGCTCCGGACCATCGAGAGGCGGGCACGCATCCTGCTGCGGCACATCCGGGAGCACAGCCTGACGGTGTTTGAGGACTCGCCGTGCTGAGCCCCTGCAGCACGGGGCAAATGGCAGCGGTGATGGATGCCCCTCACTGTGGGTGATGTGACACTGTGTGCGGGTGCTTGGGTCTCCAAAAGGTGTTTCCCACCTCCTTGTAGGATGCCCTGGAGAAGGAGACTGGATCGCAGGGAATAGGAAAGAGGAGGAGGAGACGTCTCCTGAAACAACCCACAACTGCTTAGGGAAGGCAACTGTTCTCAAGTAACGGTCCAAGCATGGATTTTCAATGGAAGGGCACATCCATGGGATTTTTGGGGTGCCTTCACCCCCTACCCCAGCAGTTTTGAACACCAGAGGCTCAGACAGTTGAACAGCCTATGGGGGACCCTGGGAAGGGTTAAAGAAGCAGTGAGAATCACTGCTCAGGGTTGCAGGAAGTCACTGTCAGCCTTTCCATGGCTTGCACTGGGCTCTTGGATGATGCCTTTGCTGTTTCCAAAACAGCACAGGTAGGGGGGCCGGAGCACATGGAATAAAGCAGAGGGGGCTTTCTAAGCAAGGACAAGTCACCGGAGCTGAGCTCGCTCTGTCCCACGTGGAGGAGGTGATGTGTGCCTGGGAGTGAGGATAAATCACTGCCCAAAGTGGGGGCCAGGCCACCACTGCAGCTGCCATCACAGAGCCTGTAGTGCTGTCCCCAGCAGCGCCATGTGCCATGTGTCCTGCCATCCCATTCAATGTGGAATCTGAAGATTTAAATCCCTCGCTTGCTCTTTCCCTTTGCTGTCAGGAGATTAAAGGCAAACCCACGCCACCTGCGGAAAGGGCTCCTGCCTGCTTTCAGGCATGGCTGTGAGAAACTCTTTCCAAAGCTCCCAGCAATACCTCATAACACAAAACCCAGGCTATTTCAGCAGAAGGAGATCAAGTGCAGAATGCTTTAGCACCTCCAGCAGAGCCCATCCCACTCCTGTCACCCCTCAAGCCCTTGCCCAGCAGCAATGGGGCACAGCAGCATCCCAGCTCTGTCAGAGCCTCTCGCTCTCTGCAGTGTTTCCCAGCTGAGGCATGGCAGTCAGTGTGTGACTTGTGTGTCACTTGTGCCCTTGGGAAGTCAGGGAGACCCAGGATGGGTGCTGCTGTCCCATTGCCTTGGAGAGCACGGCCACCCATGCGGTGGGAGGGGAAGGAAAGGCAGGCGTTGCTTGATGCTTTCCTTGCTGCATCCCTCTCAGCACCATGTCAGTTTTAGAGCTGGCAAGGGGATACTTTAACACCCATGCTGATAAGCACAAGCAATTACTGGTTTTTGCCTTTCTCCTCTTGCTGTAGAGAAGATGAAGTGGGCACGGGTGATGTGAATCAACAAGAGTGAGTGCTCTCAGAATGCATCAGCACTTGGCATGGCAGGAAATCAGTGTCCAGAGCACCCCCAGCATCTTCTTTGAGTCCTGCTCTCCAGTTAGCCAGGGAAAGCCTTTCCTCAGCACTCTGTCCATCCCATGAGTTGCCACCCTGTTTGACATGCCATGGGATGGCTGACTGTGGAGGAAACCCCGCTGAAGCCCAAATCCTGGAGATCCATTACTGGGGCTTGAGCTCAGCCTTAAGCATGGAGGAGAAAAACATAGAACCACAGCTTCTCTGGGCACCCTGTGCCAGGGGCTCACCACCCTCACAGTAAAGAACTTCTATATATCTAACCTCAATCTCCCCTCTTCTTGGGTCCCATGAAAAGCTGTGCCCAGGCATGGTCTTATGGGGATAAAGGAGGCTAACTGTAACTTAATTAAACCCAGAAAACAGACTGTGCCAAGCTGTGTGGTAACAAGAGCAGCAGCGAGGGTGTGTAGCATCGGTCATAGCCTCGTTTTTCTTACTAAAGTAAGGAATGTCACTAAAAGAAAAGGTTTGCATCCCATATTAGCAAAGTTCTCAGCAAGAAGCAAGAAGGTGAGGCACTGTGAGGTGTAACAATGCTGCGCTGGAACAACAGCTTCTGACTCGCCTCTGGGTGCTGCTGCTTGACCTCAGCATTGCACAAGGTAATGGGGATCTTCCTAGGGATTTTTGCATTTCCTTAGGTATACCACCTAAGTTTGCCAGCTAAACACATATAGGAGCATCTGTCAGCAGTTATGATGCGCATAAAAATCACTGTTGCTTAAACAGAGAGCCATGTATGGATAAATGAGAGAAGCAAAAGCCATGATCTTGCTGAGACTGATCATGAATCTCCTTTCATTAGTCATTTCTTCCATGGGCTCGTCAGTGTAGCCAGCAGAGCGCACAGGCTCGGAGCTGTTGTCACAGTGGTTTGGAGCAGTCCCATGTGCTGCTCTTGCCTCAGCCTTTGCCATGCAGTGTTGGGTTCACTTTGCTCCAGCTATGAATGTGTCATATTTCCTATGATAAACCTGTTTTTATGGGTTTAGACTGTAGCTATGAAATTCACTTGGTACCATGCTTGACAAACAGGATCCTGCTTTAACCAGACTTCAGCGAGCATCATCACAGCTCCTGTTGAATTGGGGTGCATAAAAAAAGGACACAGACCAAGCAGCGGTCCCACCGTGGCTCCTTGCAGAAGGACATCCCTGCAGTATCCTTGTGCAAACCCTTGGCACAGTGGGAATGTGCCATTGCCTGGGGAATACTGTTTGAGAGCATGGGCATGCATCCTCCCAGGGCTTCATGAGGAGGAAAGCGTTTCTTTCCACAGTGATCCCAGTGGCGCAGGGATCCCATCTGTCTGCTCCCAGCCCTTCAGCTGGCAGCAAATAGGGCTGGGGGAAAGACAAATTGTCTCAAACCAGCTGAGCACATGCACATGCATGCATGCACTCATGCGCATCACCCAGCCACATGCATGCATGCACCCACACTTGCCCTCGCACACCTTTCTGCATGCATGGACCTGCATATGCACACAGATACACATGTGTCCATCTCCCCCATGCATGCATGCACATCCCTCATGCACATGTGCATATGCATGCATCCCCTGCCATGCACACAGACATCACCCAGGCCCCCCTCAGGCACACAGCTCCTGTTCAGCCTGTTCTTAACCCCCCAAGGCTGCCTGCTCCAGTGCTCTGCTGGCCTCACCCTCCATAACCAAATGCCTTTTCCTTGCATTAAGGACCACTTCCTGAGCTGCCCATTTTGGCCACAGGACGCCAATGGCCTTTGCAGCAGCCTGAGCACCCACTGAACCCAGCCACTGGGGGACAGCACCAGTGGGGTGGCACTCACAGGTGACACAGGATGCTTGACAAAACCCATTCAAGCATCCCCGTGCTGCTCAGGGGAAGTATGGGCTGGCTGCTGCCTGAGAGGCAAGAGCTAGCGAGTAAATCCAAATGTATTGTTAAATCACTGGGTATAAAAATAATCTGGCTTTTAGCAAGCAATTTATTTGTGCTTTCAGCACTTGCTTAAACATTGATGTGGAAAAGGAAAGAAAAAAGTCCGCTCCAACCCAGGACTATCGCTGCAGTGGGGGCCTTTAAGATTAATGGAAGTAAATTAGCCTGATGTTTTATTTACATCCAGCAAAGCGATAGATCAGCTCTGCTCGTGATGGATTCTCTTCATTAGCTGGGCGAACGCCTAAGGTGCAGCTTTCGACATTGTTTCTTCCAAGCAGTCAGACAAACACTTTATCAAAAGAGTATAAAACTGCCCCGAAACGAAGCAGATTGATGACCAGTAAAGGGAAGATCATTGAATTTATTACATAAGCAGCAGCATCACTGGAGCTTATGGAATGGCTTATTAGATAACAGATGTGTACAAGAGCATGGAAGGGCTCAGCCCCCCCTGGATCTGCTGCCCTGGCTGTAGCTGCTCCCTAAATAGTCCCTTCATGGAGGCTTCACCTCCTCCCCTTCCCATTCCTTGTGTCTGGGTTTTGTCTGTAACTCTCTCATTACAGCTTGTGAACATACTGTTTCCTCCCAATTAAAACCCTCTTAGACTTGTAAACGGCTCCGGGGATGATAACCTTGTCTTTCCCACAGGCTGATTTGGTGACTTCAATTGCTGTTGCAGCAGTGATCATCGTATCAATAAGAACAACAGTAATGTATAGGACTTCTCCTGTCTTTTGACTCTTTGGGAGAAAAATCCCCAGCCTTAGCACTTTATGGATCCCATGTGGCTCTTCCAGCAATTACCTCTGGAACGGTAATTAGCTATCAGTTAAGGCAAATGGGGGCGAAGAGAGCAGGAACCTAGGGAAAAGGAAGCATTCCTTGCCACGGGAGGAGCTGTGCTTGTGACACGTGTCTGAGGTCTCTGTCCCCCCAGCCGTGAGCTCAGGTTTTCAGGCTTCAGAAGGGGTGTTTTGAGTGCAAGGATGACTGAGAAACACTGATTTAGCGGGTGCTGTGACTCTCTGAGTGCCATCTCCAGCAGCTGGCATTGGCTCGATGAGCTGTCTTTCCCCCCCCTGCTTGCCAAGAGCATCTTTAAAGGTTCATCTCTGGACCAGCAAATTTTAAGAGCATCATTAATTCCCTAATTCCCTGGCAGACCCTTAGAAGCGCTGGAAGCATCTCCTGAGTGTGGTTGTGAAGTGTGGGGGACCCCAATGCCACCCAGCAGGCAGAACGTGCTTGTGTCCCCATGCATGGGGTGGCGATAAGGCAGCGTGTGTGCTTCCAGCTTCCATCTGCAGCTTGGGTTTGGATGCCATGTGAGGCACCCAGTCCCTGCCCCTGACCAGACTCCAGTTTAGGCAGTTGGACTTAACATTATCCCTCCTTTAGGATGGGAGGCTGTGATGTGCGATGTCTGTGCTCCTGGGGGAGCATGCAACAGGAGAGGCAATGGGGAGGAAGGGCATAGATGGTCTTTTATCCTAGATGGATGAAAGGTCTTAGCTTTAAACCTGTGGGTTTTCTTGACTGGTACCAGAAAGTAATATTTCAGCCCACAGGAGTGTTAACTCGGCATTATGGGCTGCCTGACCTTTCCCTGCCTGTCTGGAGGTGGCAGAGTGTGGTGATGCCATCAGAAAGGGGCTTCAAAACAAGGAC